GCAGTTTCGTTTTCGTTTCCATTAACCCATTATGACCCCGAGACTACCCTAATAATATCCCCAATCCCTAAACCCCTAAAACCCCTAAAACCCTAAACCCCTAAAACCCTAAACCCCTAAACCCCCTAAAACCCTGAGCACTGCCACCTCCACCAGGCCTTGCGGCATCCGTTCCTTTCAGCTTTTCATGACCCAGATGCCGAGCCGGCCTTTCAGCCCAGATTGGGGGTTTGTCAAGGGTTTAGGGTTTAGGGTTTGGGGTACCTATGGTTACTATAATGGAGAATCAAATGGAAAAGAAAACGGACAATGAAATGGAAACTGGGTTTATATAGGGGATTACATGGGATTAAAGGTTTCCCAAAAGTAGGGGTACCATTTTAGGGGTCCCAATATTAAGGACTGTAGTATTTTGGGGTCTATATTGGGGCCCCCGGGAAAGTACCAGGTACCACACAATTGTAGGGTTTAGGGCTTGGGGTTCTAGGGTTGGGGGTCTCGGTTGGGAAAGTCATAGCTGGTACAACACTATCGACGTACCCAAGCCATAAAACAATATCCACTTCAGTCAAGATACCATGAACGGCTAAAGCAGCTTTCGGTTCAAGTACTCCTGACTGGCAGTTGCCATTGCTTCTACTATTGCTTACTAAGGCTTACTATTACTTGCTGCTATTGATATTTTTACTGCTGCTGTCCTTATTCCTTTCACTTATTTTTGCTATTATTCGTATTTCTCTCCTTGCTACTATTTCTATTACTGCTATTGCTATTGTTCCTATTGCTAATGTTGATCTTCTTTCCTGGCTTGAACGGATTCAAGTCGACCTGTGCGCTGAGCACACTTCAGGTCTTTGGCCATAGACTGGAACTCACACTGCCGGACAGCCTTGAGCTCAGATGTGTTCGCAGTATTAGTAATAGCAATGATAGTTACAACAGTAATACCAGTCATAACAGAAACAGTAGTTATGATAGTGATAACAGTTGTAACAGATAACAGTAATAATAGTCATAATAGTCATATATTAGCTCCCATTAAGCTGAATGTACCTACCCGAAATATGCACTTTTTGTGTCACTTTGCTGTGTGTGCTGCGCGTGACATGTGAAACGCAGACGCCGAACATGCCAAGATCACAAGTTCTCGACGTCGCAGTATCGCGACCAGGCCTGCGACATGACTATTGGGGTTGTATAGGAATAATGGGAAAGAAAATGGAAACCTATATAAGGGGTTATATAGGACTAGCGGACGCCTTCGTTGCAAGATCTGGGAGTTCAGAAATCGGAGTCCCCCTTACATGCACTCTCCTTCCTATTGTGCTGACAATGGCCGGGCGAAAGAGCTCTGCTTCTGGAAGCCCTAAACCCTAATCCATAACCCCTGTACATGTCCCCAGGCATCCTTTCACAAGCCCTATAGATCCCTAATCCCTAAACCGTGATAAGTCCTATAGCCCCTCTCACAGGGGACCATACCCTAACCGTAAACCATGGTAATCAGCCTGCCAGATGTACGCGGACATCGTTGGCCTTGAGCAGTCAAAGGTCAGAGTGGATGCCGCCCTGGCAAGTTGTTTGGGGTTTCAGGGTCTAGGGTTTCAGGGTTTTAGGGTTTTAGGGTTTTACAGTTTAGGGTTTAGCGTCCAGAGTTTTAAGGTTCGGGTTTAGGGTTTAGGGCTGTAAGTTTTTAGGGATGAGGGACTACGGTTTGGTGGTTTCCAAAAGGTGTAGGGTTTTAGGAGGTCCAGGGGAGTCCCGAAAAGCGCGACAGAGGGGTTACATGGGGTCATCTAGGGGTTGTTGTGCGGATTATTGGATACATATATATATATACATATATATATATGTATAGCCATCTTCTAGAGTTTTTTTTGAAGGTTGCGGTTTCCCATTTCTAGGAGTCCCCGTGATACGGATTATGACCCCATATTCATGGAAACCCTCATCTGCGTATTTCTCAAACTTTGCGGCCCCTCTTCATAACCCCTGAACCCTAAAACCTAAACCCTAAATGATAGAGGTTTCAGAATAGGGACCTTCAAGAAGGACCCCAGAAGTTTGAGAAACCCTAAAACCTTAAACCCAGTTACATGCAAGACAGATCCCGTCATGGACAGGAGACCAGAAAGGCTCAAGCTCTTCTGGAGGCACTGCTGCTCAAGTACCTTAGGGTTCATGCATTGTATGAGGCTTGAGCTAAACTCCTCCAAGAGGATTTTAAGGACTATTATTATATCGGGGTTAATCAGGGAGATACAAGGAGTTTAGACTATGGCTCATATGCAAGGACTTGTCATACAGTCGCTTGACGCAATAATTTTTGTGACAGGCCATGGAAGAACAGGACATTCCCTGACCCTGGGTTGTTAAAATCAACGTCCCTTTTTCGGGCACGGGCAATCTCTACATCAGGGTCCCTTTGCATGCTCACCCAAAAGCATTACCGTCCATATACCCCAGCAAGGGGAGTCCACACTTTTAGGAAGCGACCATTCAGGGTTCCGAAAAAGGGATTAGCACTTTGACAACTGCCCAAAATGCGGCCAGAAGGACTGCCAAAGATGCAGCTTGGCTGCTGCAGTTGATGTGGCCTGGGGAGGGGGATGTGGGCGTGTCCCAAGAGTTAAGTAATCCTTTTGGGGTCTCTTTCATTGCTTTTCGAGACCCTAAACCCTAAACCCAAAACCCCGAAACCCTAAACCCAAAACCCAAAACCCTGAACCCATATCTTTGTAGATGTTCGCTTGAGAAGGTCGGCTTAAAACAGCCTTGCCTTTCAGCAAAAGTAGACCGGAGCCGGTCAGATAATGCACCGCAGCAGCCTAACCTGTTTTCGGAGTGTTTAGGATTGAGGGCTTAGGGGTTTAGGGCTTAAGGCTTAGGGTTTAGGGTTTAAGGTTTAGGGTTTAGGGTTTAAGGTTTAGGGTTTAGGGTTTAGGGTTCAGGGTGTAGGGAGTTTTCGGAGACCCATTGGGGTATTATTGGGGTTATATAGGGATAATGGAAAAGACAATGGGGACTACAGGGATCATAGGTGTTATATAGGGGTTATATAGGGGATACATTGGGGTTATGTATTGGGATAATGGGAAAATGGAAACTATTATATTATACAGGGATGATATTGGAGTTTATATTGGGTTTCTAAGCTTGAAGGGTCCAATGTTGAGAGGCACCTAGATATTGCACAAGCAGGTTGTGGGCGCATTATTGCGCTAGTTGCATCAGGGGCCTGGCTGCTGCTCAAACATGAAAATGTGGTGCACGTGCTGCGCAAGTAGAGGTTCGTGGATGGGCTCTCTGGAACAGATTGGCCCATGTACGCCCCGACCAGACATGCTGACGGTAAAACGAGCTATGGTCTAAACTCCTTTAAAGGGGGGACAACTATAGGGGTTACTTTGAGGGATATTAAGAGTTTAGACTATACATAGCTCAAATGGTTCAATTCAGAAAAACGGCCCTCATCGAACCAGCTACCCTTGCCCCGGCTAGCACAGATTTAGATTTTTATCACAGTATCTTATAGTCTGTTATAGTATATTATAGTGTATGATTTTCCCATGGATGTTCCGTGCCAGTTCGGCGGCGGCTGCCTTCGACCAGAACAAACTTTGGCCTCCACGGTTCCATGCCCCAAAGGTGGTTGAGGTATACGGTTTAGGGTTTAGGGTTATTATTTATGAGATCTTGGTGGGTTTAGGTGTTTCTGAAACTCCCTTGACTATCATCTATCCCTGAGTCCTCCAGCAGTCCCTAAATAGGAAAGAAGCTCCCGTTTAAGCATTTAAGTTGTTAAAAGCTGGCAGCTGTGCACATGAACCTACTGGTGCTTAAGGGGGAGTGGGGGAGTGAATGTAGGCACCATTATGGGGGCATGTATGGGGACTATACAGGGTCTATCATATGGATGCACGCTCCCACTCTCCCTTAAGCACCAGTAAGCTGAGCTGCACATCCCGAGGTTCCTTCAGGGCAGGTGTTTTGAGAAACCACCGGTGCCCATCAAAAGCCAGAAGCGAGGACCAGAGTGCTGGAACAAATGTAGTGCTCTGCAGTGGTTGAGCCAGGCAAGATTAACTACGATTAAGTTACATTCTTTCTTTAAAAAGTTGCGAACAGTGCTTGCGTGAAGTGATGATTCAAGCATGCAGTTCTGAAGATCTTGCAAGCGCCTTGCCTCTTTGCTTGCAGATGCCACTCTCCATCAAGGACCATCGCCCAGCTGAGCCATGGCTGGGACAGTAACAGGCACTTTCATGCAACAACTATCAGTCAGCCTATGCCTTCCAGCTTTTCAGCATGTCTTCAAGATGGGGGGTTCCCCCATAAGAAGGACTGTAGTATTTGGGGGATGCTATTGGGGTACCCCCATTTAGGGAAACTGCCAAATCCCGAAGCAGAAGATAGGAGGCCATGCTGGCGCAAAGAAGCCTAGCAGGGACCGTCTCGCCGAGCGTAGCGGGGAGGCCAAGGTACTGGCCTGATGGGCAATCACTGAGGAGCCCCTCCAAGAGGGTTTAGGGCTTAGGGT